ATAAAAGCTTTTGGGATACAACAATACTTTAGTATCAACTGAATAATTCCATAGAAACAGATTTTCTTAAAATAGCAATTTATTTCTTGATATAAAACTTGAACCAAACCAACTAAATTTTCTTAAATACGTAATTCACAAATTGTTGCCATGGGGTAGAGTTTATTGAACCATAAAGCAAAATTTTGACACCTGTAAGTAAACCCTTTGATAACGTTTAACAGTTGTAATTGAGACTGTAAACAGTCAGTGCCTATTGCCTATAAAGTCGTACTGTCTGCACTTACAGTTTAGCAATGTAACAGAGTAAAGTTTGTGGGGAGGGATTAATAAGAATCAAAAACCTGGAGAGCAGAGGAGGGAAGACAAACGGGTCGTAAGACAGTGCCCGGTCTCAAGCAAGACGTGTGGGAGAGGGGCTGAGAAGAGGAAATGAGGAGCACTCTATAGTCACAGCTGTCCTTGCCCTCGTCCTCACAGCCTTATTATATTTTCTTTACCTACCTCCAGCTTCGGCGTTCTCTGCTTCTCTGTACCACCTATCTTCCTCCCTTTGCTCTAGCAACTTTCTTTCGCTCACCATTTCCTGTACAAGTACTTAGGTATATTTTTCCTTTGTCTTCTTTCTTAATTTCTCTTTAATGTCTAAGAGACAAAGGACTGGGCTGAAAAGAAACCTTTTCCTCCAAAACTTAACTTTAATTTGTACCACGCAATTTATCTTCTACAGTGTTTGCTGCAGAGTAAGAACAGTGTTCGGTTTCATAACAAACATGCCTATCTTTTGTTTTAGTTTGATTTTTATTTTGCTTACTTTGCTTTGTTGCTGCTGTTGTTCTGCGAGAGGGGACCTTGCTATGTAAGCAGATCTGCCTGCCTTCGACTCACGGTGTTCCTGACTCAGCCTCCTAGACGCTGGATCACAGGGCTTCACCACACCCGATTTACGCCTAATGTTTTAAGAGGAACCAAATAGAGAAAAAAACGAGACAATTAACTAAAACAGGACTATTTGGAAAGACTAAGCCTGGTGACTCACAGGAACTAAACTTCTCCAATGACAGCTAAAGTTCTGCCTTGATCACTGTCACTGTATCCAGTCTCATTTGTCCCCTTTGTCCCCTCTGATCTCTGTACAGATGCCACTTTTTCAGGGGAGTCTTCCTTGAGCTCTCTACACACACATTGTTCACACCCATCTTCTGCCACTAGTTGCTGCATTTTTCCCAAAGAATTCCCCCCGAGACATACTCTGTGTTTAATTGCTTATATGTTGTCTCTACCAATGAGAAAAAGACCCTGGCAGCGCTATTGTGGTTTGAATGAGAAATGGCCTATACCTCATACAGCTGGCCCCAGGTGGTGACACTGTTTTGAGGGTTTATACCTGGCCTCACTTCCTGCTCACTCTGCAGGAGGATGAGAATGTGACCAGGCAGCTTCCTGCTCCTGTCCATGCCTTCCTCTTCTGCTGCCATGCATTCCCTGCCAACAACTCCCTCTCTTGAACTACTAGCTTAAACCTTTTCTCACAGAGTTGCTTTCATATGGGTTTTTACCTCACAGCAACAGAAAAGTAACCAATACAAGCACACGAAATGATGTTTCTTGCTCGTGTCTGTGCTGTACGGCTCCACACCGGCACTAAGAGGCTGCTCTCTCTTCACTTCTTTTGCTGTGATAGAATGTCCAGCTGCTCTGGAGAAAGGAGGCTTAGCTCCGCTCACGGGTCCAGACTTCGCCCATTACTGCCGAACACTGCAGAGAGCTGAAGGGAGCTGGAGGGAGCTGGCCACACCACGTCCACGCTCAGCAGTGAGACATGAATGCACACACGTTCACTTGTTTGCTAGCTTACTTGGCTCAATCTTTCCACTCATATAGTCCAGGAACCCCTTCCAAGGGAATGGTGCCAGCCACAAAGGGACAGATTGCTCCAGAACAAATATCTAAGACCGTCCCTCACAGACAAGCTCAACCCAATGAAGACAATCCATCATTGAGAGTCTCTTCTCAGGATTTTCTAGATCACATCAAGTTGAAAACTAAAAGCAACCATCATAACACCTAACCATCAATAAATACCTACTTATTGAATGAATACGTAGAAAAAGAATCACTGTGTATACACTATTATAAAATGAATTCTATGATTCATTTCGTAAAACAAGCAAAGTGTATACATCAGACAGCATCGTATGTTCTTCCATTTATGTAAAAGAAGAACAGGAGGCATATAATTTACATGCATGCTTCTATTTGCAGATAATGCTCCAGAAAATTACTTCTGAGGAAGACAATTAGGGAATAAGTAAGGAACTCAGACCCTTGTACAGGCTCACGTGCAAATACTGCTATTTAAAGGCATTACAGGAGATTTTTGCTTTATCAGTTAGGAACACACAGCATAATCCTTCATAAATCTAACTTAATCTTACAGAGAGTATATACTAGCGAACACATAAATGAACTAAGATGCAACTCTCAAAAAGAATAAAGTAGAGCTACTTATTTTACAGTGCTTTCAATATATAAAATAAATTTATACTTATTACCTCTTTTCAGTAGCTATGGAATGGAAAACTCAGAAGTTTAAGGAGCCTGACTATACTTACAGCGCAGACAGAAAAGCTACTCAGTCTTCCGAGTCCTGGTCTGGCACTCTTCTCAGTATACCATATTCGTTGAGCCAAGGCTCAAAATGAAGATTTATATCAATGATTGAAAGAAAATTCAAAATACCTCACAATGATAAAGATGAAACTCTCACCAGCACTGTCAATAGGCTTTGATTAATCTTAGAGCCGTTCAGTGTTCTAGGCGTAAGACTGAGACATCAGACACTGCTGGGGAAAACACTACTGAGTCCTAGTGACAGGCGATTCTTATGAAGTCAGATATTTCACAGGCTAACATGTAGCACAACAAGACTGTTACTACTGCTGTTCAACTAAGAACAGCTACTCAATATGTGTAGAGAAGATAAATACATGTGAGTCTCCGTCTATCAAAGGGCTTTACACAAAACGTTAATTTCGGAAATATCAAAGTGAAGCCAGTTCTCTTACAGGAGAGCGAAACATGTCTTAGAAGTAGGAAGGCCTTCTGTGGCCGCCTTCAGCTCTAGACACACAGACCTGACATCCAAGTGGCCTTTCATCAAGGTCACTGGATTTGGTCCAAAGCTGTCATGAAATAAAACAAACAGGTAATCTGGGATGAAAAGGAAGTATAATTCCTCAATTCAACAGATACTGAAATAAAGCTTATTATATTCACTACTAGACTGGACAATAATAAACAAACTAAAGAGAAGCGTTTGATATACAAACAGTAACGCCAGCAGCTTGTATTTACTTGGTTATCAGAAAATTCTGATGTTTGCAGAACTCTGCAAGGGGGACTATGCAGAGTGCACACTTCTAACCTGACGCAGACACTACAGTGTTCTCATCTCAAGAGCCAGAACTGAGGCACAATACAAATAAGTCCTTGGTTCACCAAGAAGCTGCCCTTTGCGTTGCCCAAACAGTACCCTTTGTGTTAATGTCTCTTACTTTCAGAAGGGAGGGTGAGAGGAAGAGAAACAGGTATATATAGGTAGGTAGGCAGAAAGGTACAGATAAATGATAGATAGACAGATAGACAGACAACAGCTGTATTTAAATCTGGATCTAGCACACGAGAGAAAATATGACGCTGTCTCTTCTTTTCCCCCATGTCCTTTCTTGTCCTTCTGCCCCTTAGGCCCCTTTCCCCTCACACACAGTCTAACTTATTTTATAATGCTATTCATAAAACAATGTTTAAGTAGCCATTTTGGGGAAAAAACATTTAAGCCTTATAATTTTTATTTTCAACTATTGAAAATATATAACTATTAGCTGAAAAAAGTCAAAGAATGCAAAAATTTCACCAAACAAGTGTGAGTATTACAACAAGAGCTGTGCCAGAAGTATTCCTTCCTCATAAATACTCTGCAGAACATTTCATTGGCATCAATTTGTGGGATTGCTTAAGTAATTTGTAAAATATTAACCTATTATTTTAAACTACATATAATATACAGTGTTCCTTTTGAAAACCTGATAAATTTTTCAATGAAGGCCTTACTAAATTTTCATTTTGGTTTACTTTGATTTGAGATGGAGTTCTCTATGGTCCCATGATGTCTACACTTGCTGTCATCTTGCTGGATTCTCTCAAGCAAGAACTGGATAGAAGGGTTTACCACCACCACATGACAAAATTTTAATTTTTAAATAAAAATTTAGTAAAGGCATTGTTTCAATGTGTATCTAAGATATTTATAATCACTATTTCAGTTACTGAAGACAATAAACTAGGCAGCACTATTTTAAACAAGCAAGGCAGTGTCACTGGTTACAAATCACACAGATGAGGGAAGAAAAGAAAAGTGGGTAGGTAGGTAGGTAGGTAGGTAGGTAGACAGACAGACAGACAGACAGACAGATGATAGATCTAATAGAAATGGACAGACAGAGGCACTGAGCAGATAAACTAAAATTAAACAGAATTTTAAGTTTGCAAATCTGAACAAACTAGGCATAAAAGAATTTAAGCTAGGTCATTCTTTTGTACTGTGGAAGAAAGCAAACACACTGTCGATCTAAGGCAAACAGGTTCATGGTTGTGGAGAAACAGTCAAGGCTCGGCTTTCTCCTCATTCTTACTTCCATCTTTAAATGATACCCTACCTTCCTGCTGCTTCCCAGGAATAAAAACAACTGCAATCTGTCCTTTCAGCTTTGATGGCAAGAGAAGCGCTCTATGTCCTTTGACTCTATGGGTGGCCCCTGAAGTGCTCTCCAGGTGACCTGAAGTGACTGACAGCTAAGTCTATTCTGCACTTACAAATAAGTTCAATAGAACCTGCATGCTAACAAGAGTGATGTTTGTTGTAGCAAACCAGAATTAGTTTTGTTCTCACTTATTACCCAGACACTTCTCTGTCAGCAACGGATGGCTCCAGAGCTTACCATTGATGTGACCGATCGCGCATCTTCTTCGTAATTCACCACAGGAGGCGGTTCTTTCCCATCATTTTCTTGTACTTTTTGCTCCAATAATTCTTTCTGTGCTGCACACTTTGCCTCAGTGCATCTCAACTGCTGGACTGACTGTTTCAACTCTTCAAGTGCCTGTTTTTGCCCCAGAAGAAGCACAATGCTACAACAAAATAAAATAAATAGACATTATTTCAACTCAAGAAGTAAAAGCATTAATGGAAAAGTGTGTGTGTGTGTATGTGTGTGTGTGTGAGTGTGCCTATGTGTGCCTATGTGTGCCTATGTGTGTATCTGGGTCTGTGTTTATCTATATATGTGTATGTGTGTGTCTGTGAGGACATGTGTGTATGTGTGCCGAGATGTGTGTGTCTGTGTGGATATGTGTATGTATGTGTCTGTGTGTGTCTACATGTGTCTGTGTGTATATTTGTGTGCCTATATGTCTATGTGTGCGTATGTGTGTATATGCATGTGTGTTTCTGTGTGTGTGCAGATTATGATTTTGTAAGCTTTCATTTTCCTCTACAGAACTCCTTCAGAATCATAAAGAAATGAAAACAGATATTAATAGCAGGATTAAGAAAACAGAAATAGGTCATTCAAGACACTTTCAAATAAATAATGGCACCTATTATCTTTTAGACATAAATTATCTACCTCACCAAGAGTTCAGTTTAGGAATACAGACCATAAACTGACTGAAAAAGAAATGACAAACTTAAAATATTACGCTAAGATCAAATCTCAAGAATTAAATACTTAAAGTATGACATGTTCCTGGGTAAAATTAATAAAATTAATTTTATTAATTAGTTAATTCACACTGAACTGTGGGTATATTGTAAAATGTGTGTTTTAAATCTGGAAAGTTGGCACAGCAGGGATTCCGACTTGATCATGACAATGTGAGCCAAGTCTACAAATCTCCCCACTCCTTCTTGTACTCAGGGCTTACACAATAGGAACTACAAGCTTATGGGCCCAAAACAAGGCCACCAGAAAGAAGAAACCATGCTGGCAGGAATGTCTACCCCATAAGTATACGATACCTTAAAAATAAGTGCACTGTGGTAAATTATTAGTAGTACCGGATGACAGACTGGAAATCAGGGAATGCTCCAGAATTAGATAGCAAGGTAACCGACTTAAAGTCAGAACATCACCAGAATAAATACAGAGAGATATAAACACACTAAGTTATTGAGTTGCATCTTGTGCTGTTTTGAGAGCTCAGTCCCAATCTAACTGAGCAGGGCACAACCTCAGCGACCATAGTAAAAATGTTGGTCTCTTCAATAATAGTTCAAGGAATTTCAGGGAACAATGTGAAGTTGGGGAAAACAGAACTTAAAGAGCATTTGCAGGAGACCTAGAAATGTCCAGAAGACAGACTGCTCTAAACAGCAGAATTTAATAAGTGATAATTACCATGAACATCATCATCATTCAGCAAATCTGTGACCTATTTTTAAAATCTATATAGATTTCTTGGTAAATTCATGCTGGCTTGCGTATTAGTTGGTAATTGATTTTTTGCAATAAGTTGGCACTTTTGCTTCTCAGAAAATCCATTCAGAGAATGTTAATTATTAAGACAATCATTTTGTGAGAAAAATATTAGGAGACCTAGGAAAAGATTACACTTATTATATTTTTTAAACTTTGTGCTTCCTAACACACAGACCAAAAGCAAAGTACCACAGAAACCACAATGACTATGACAACAGTACAAGAAATAATTCTAAATATAACAAGAAAGATGTCATAGTATATTTTCATACACCTAGGAGATTATTCAAAAAATGATTTATCACATGTATACAAAACTATTTGATATACTTAAAAGCAATACTCTAAAAGCACTGGATCAGTAGTTTTACATAAAGGCTAACAGAAAATGCAAAAGAAAATAGCTAAAAAAGAACAATTGTCCAGGGTAGGAGAAAGGAAAATAAGCTTTGCAATAAAGAAATACA